GATTTTTTAGGTTTACATTTTCGGAATCCAAGTAAGAGGTTCATTAAATTTTTGGTTTCTGTCTTTGTTTGATGAAAATCTAACAGTGAGCAGATTTTCTATGGTCTTTTTTCCACTTTGTTGATATTTCTTTGGAACTTTTGAAGGGTGGAAAGTTTTGAGGAGGGAAGCGGTTATATAGTCAGTTCCCTATACCCTTCTTGTTCAAAGTGTTGTACATTCATTTGTGTGAAACTCTGGATTTTAGGATTTCAAGTACATAAAAGAGCTTATAAAGTCAAGAAAAATGTTCTTCGGAGACATATATAACATAGTAGGCCTACTGGAACATTTAATAAACCTCTGAAAAATTATCAGGAAATAACAAAATCATCTTACATCTTTATGTTGCACTTGTAGTTTTTTTTTCTTTTATTGTTTTCATATATTCTTCTTTACTATTCACGACAATTGTTTAGAGTTATTATCAATTCAATTTTCATTGATGAGCACAATTTAAAAAGAAAGAAAATGACTGTCTAAAAATATTCCTGCTATTTTTTTGTCATGTATATAAAGAGTACAATTTGATAACGTAAAAAGTAAAAATACCCAGAAAATAATACCATTAAAAAATCATGAGGTACTGAGAGACAGAGCAGAGGATTTGTAGTGCAATGGTGAACACTATAAACTTACTTTCCAGACTTCAATGGAGATCAGAGGCGAAGCGTCTATATAATCAAATAATCACCTCTTCCCTTCCTAATTTTGAAACATTGTCGCAGTCAAATTCACCCATAGACGTAATCCTCATAAATTAAATGTAAAAAGACGTTCATAATCACCAATGAACAATAGACTATGCCTAACCTTCGAAACCGTTTCATTGCCACAGAAATAGCCTGTTCGCCCCTATCGGGCCACTCCATAAGCAGTCACCAGCTTTGATTAAGTAAGCTTAAAGTGAGGCTGGGAGAGTCAACCAATAGATTTGAAGGGAACATGTGCATAGCAGTCAGAGCTGTTTCATTGTCGCATATACCCTGTTCACCTCTTTCGGGCCACAGTTATAAGCACCCAGACGCACTGATTATCTAAGCGAACCATTACACTGGTCGAGTCTACCTCACAGATGTGATGGGAACTAACTCCTAATAATCCTTTGACTCCTGCTACTACATTGCTAGTGCTTGTTTTTTTCCTCGACTTTTTAACGTCCTATAATCAGATCGTGACCTCGATTCCTGGCCGCGAAAAGCTAGACAAAAAACAGCCAAATGTGAAATAAAAAATTAATAATTGGCGTGCTCTACCAAAGTGTTTCGGCTGTCTGGTATAACATGCCATTGTAGTGCTGACATCTGTGCTTCTTTCCTTGGTGTTCGTGTGTTCAAATCTAAAGTTAAATTTAAGGTTAGTTAGAATAAATATTTAATGAAATACTTTCCCGATTATTTTAGCGGTTGAACAAGCATACAACATGAATTCAGGATTTGTTTTCATTCACAACTCAGAGTTGCTGCCTCCAGTGCCAGTAAGATTCTTGTGACTTGTGTGAGTGTGATATCTCCAGGCCCTATCTGGTCCCATTTCACTTTGATTACCCTGTCAAACAAGTCAGCTTTCGCCCCTGATGGAGATAGATCTAACGGTCTGGCTGATGATGGAGGGGAAGTAGAAGTTCCCGTAGTTGAGTTGAATGACAATCGTGGACCGATGTCTGAGTTGATTTTCAGGTTCTGAGGAAGACAATGAAACGGATATGTAGAATTCAATATTGACCAGTTGGATCTAGCCGAAAGAGCAATCTGTATCTTTATACAAAATACATTTCATTATAAGTTTAGGAATCTTAAAATACTTATTTTCATTTCTCTCTACACATGTGAAATTTTACAGGTTACTGTATAGGTCGTTTTATCTTCACGAAAGTTTTTCTAATCGGGCCTAAATCCGGTGGTTATTTTTGGAGATTCTCCATTATCATTAGCAGGAGTACAGGACGGGTCTGTCTATGTGGCTCATAAAGGTTACTTCATTATTGTAAAAGCAGATTTCTCCATACGCTTTACTAGAATCTATATGCTTCCACTACGCATTTAACGAAAAAATACATCATGTACCAATGCTAGCTACAGGGGACAAAACCAATATATAGTCATATAATCAACAGTTTGACAAGAAAAAGAAGTAGACCCAATACTAGCAAATGACTTCTTTACTGAATTTCAACAATAGCTTAAACCTCAGAAAAGTTAACTTACTTTGAGAAATTCTTAAACCAATTAACAAAGCATGCTCACCTAAACAACTTGAAACTCAGCTCGGAGCAAGTGCAGGTACATTTTACAGTTTAGCCATCTGTTCTGTGATACGAGCCGCCACAAGCCATATAGGCCTGCGATCACCTGATCCTATTCTAAGTTACCATCGGACACCTTGTCAATTGCTGGAAAGAGAAAAAAAATGACAATTTTCAAACTGTGCCTAATGTGGTTAACACAAACAGCAAAACAACCAACCAAACAATCCTCGGATCACATCAGTCATTATCGCTACTATTACTAGGAAGCGATATATGATATCAAAACTGTTAAAATCTTTACACATATAGAGAAGCTAAGGCTAAGAGATCTTGAGCGCGCTAATTTGTACGTTTCTGACCGAAATTCAGAAAGGGTGGAGGGTTTTCTGTTCCAAAAGTTCGCCAACTGCACAGCTTTCTCAAACATATCTCAAAATCCAAAAAACAATTTAAAAAACAAACAACATTATGTCCCACATCAATCTAATTATATAAATTGGAGTGACTGATACATTTATTTAGCACCGGCGCTAATCGCAAAGCGGCGTCGCAAATAGGCAGTTCCTTTTTCAAAAAATCAAAATGCCTCCCAAATTTTACTCTAGATCTAGATTCTAGACCTACAAGAACATAATTAGATCTAGGGCTGGCTTGACAGTACTTGAATTCTACGACTTCTGCGTAGCGGAAGTTTGGGAAATTAAAACATGATCCCTTGTCTTGGCCTTGGCAATGTTGTTGCCATAGAGACTAGATCTAGATCTAGATCTATAGATACTAAGATAGATCTAAAAGACAACATAATTGTCATAATTACATATATACCGCTAACTTAAAAAATTACAGTCTATAGTCTATATCTGCTCAGTACCTAGAATCTAGACCTAGAATCTACATCTAGTTTTGAGAAATATGACGTTTCACAAAATGTCAAGGATCCCTTTTCGAATAGCCTAGATCTAGATCTAGATCTAGATCTAGGCCTAGTAGTAGTGTTTTGACAGAGCAGGTAGAGCATATGTCATGGTCTTAGTAACTCAAAAGAACCCAAAATGTAAAGTGTGGAAAATGAGAACTTAATTGTGTAGGCCTTATTATAGCAAAATAGATTCAGCTTCACAATGCTATAAATAAATCAACAACCACAAGTGCACGACATCGGGCATCAATCTATTGACTCCCGAAACAAAATGTTGCTGACCATAGCGTAAACAATATATTTCATTTCAGTTGTTTAGATCTCTATCTAGAGGCTTAACTAATAGGCCTGCCTAGATCTAGATCTAGAGATCTAGAGATCTAGATCTAGATCTAGGCCTAGAGTCTAGAGATCTAATCTAGATCTAGAGACCTAGATCTAGATTAGATATAGATTTTCTATAGATCTAGATCTAGATCTAGATTCTAGATCTAGATCTAGATCTAGATCTAGAATCTAAGTCTAATACTAGATCTAGAGTTCATATCTAAAGATAGATTCTATGGGCTATTACCTTGGCTATCTAGAATCTAAAGATCACTAGATTCTGGATAGACTCTAGATCTAGAAATCTAGATCTAGATCTAGATCTAGATCTTTTAGATCTAATCTAGATCTAGATCTAGATCTAGATCTAGATCTTCTAAATTCACTCCCACAATGGTCATCATGAAAACAAACGGGACCGCAATTGTACAGGAGTGCCTCTAAATCCAGATCTTCCAAAAACATCTTGTTCTGGATCAGCAGTCTATATAGATATAGTCTATATCTAGTCTAGTCACTGAGGCTGAGGTACCAAACACAGCCTGGCCTGGCTTATTTTCACCCAACAAATATTACCGAACTTTGAACATCTGTAACTAGCTGAAAAATTAAGTAATATTGTTGATTTTAGTATCAAATTTCTCAGAAAAATAAGCTCTATCCATCTAGCACATCCAAACAATTCTGCGTGAGAAAAATTATGTCAGATTAGACTGAAATAATACTCAAAATATGGTCAAAGAGAGGTAACCGTGAAAAATACTGAAGGGGTGACTTTTTAGGGTTACCTTCCTTAACTCTAACCCAAAGATTATAGCCTAATGCAATAGCTCACAGAGTGACGTTCTACGTGTCAGAAATGGGTACTTTCTTACTCTTATCGGCATGGCCGGCGTGTCTCCATTTACATGTACATTCTCTGAACCCCCATCCTGCTTCCCACTAGCTCTAGCATTTTAAAAACCACCATTCTGTCTCGAAACGTTGGCTACTAATTCGTCTGTTGATCCGCGCTTTTCACGTGCCTTAAGTCTATGTCTTAGAGTGGGTGGCATCACTTCCGTTTACATGGGTGACACCACTTCCGCAAAAGGAAGTACTAGGCCTAATTAGTGTAAGATCTTTGCTTGTGCGGGAAATACGCACGAAAAAAAAAATTATTTAAAAAACATATTACGTTATACAGACAGAAGAAGGTAATTTCCAACGCAAAACAAGTTTAGAAGTCTTTCATTCTCTAAAATAATATTTTAGGCGTGATAATTACTGCTCTGCTAACCCACGTGCTTTTAGCGAAACGATACAAACAAATCAAGCTTTTGTAAGATTTTATGTGTACACAATGGCCAATGACGTAGTGTTTACCCAAAGAGCGATGACGTGTGTGTGTACTCATTGAATGATGACGTATATGTGTACTCATTGAATGATGACGTAGTATTTACACAAAGAACGCTGACGTTGTTGATATTGGTGTACTCATCGAATGATGACGTAGGTGCGTAGACAAAGATCGATGACGTAGTTGGTCCGTAAAGGGGAGTAATTAGCAGGCTGCCATTTCTTAATTTCATTGTAATGTCCCTTGTTTTTGGCGGTCTAATATTCGCTTTTTTTCTTTTCAATTTTGTCATTGTTATGTCCCTTGTTTGCACTTTTTTATTATTCGCTTTTTTTCTTTTCAATTTACATTTTCGTAATTAAAATTATTTCAACCTCCAAGCGCTATAGCTTCATACATTTTCCCGGAACCTCACCATCTTGACGAAATTACATATTGTATGGATCTAGATCGAGATCTAGAAGATCTAGATCTAGATCTAGATCTATATCTAGAGTAAGATCTTAAACTAATTCTTTGGTTTCGAAGTGACCAACCCATTTTCAAAGTCAAAGTTCGATGACGCGCTGCAATTTAAAATTCTTTGTTGACAGTTTGCTATTTATCACTAGATCTATCAGCTGAGTCCACATTCTGGCTTTGGCTGTACTAAAGACTTTAGGGAAGAATCTGATCTGGAATATGCCAAACATCATTAGATCTAGATCTAGATCTAGATTCTAGATTCTAGATCTAGATGTACACATCAAAGGAAGAAGCTTCGACGTTCGAAGCCGGGTAGGTCCTAACTGCTGACGGATCGGTGAAGTATTATCATACTAGATCTAGATCTAGATCTAGATCTAGATATAGAGATCTAGATCTAGATCTAGATCTAGATATCTAGATCTAGATCTAGAGTCTAGATCTAGATTTCTAGATCTAGATCATTTTAATTCAATTTAGATATAGATTATATTTATAATAGATCTATCTAGATCTAGATCTAGATTCTAGTCTAGGTCTAGATCTAAATAAGAAACACATAAAAATTACTTCAGGGGGTAGATCTAGATCTTGATCTAGATCTAGATCTAGATTCTAGATCTAGATCGAGTGTGATTTAGTGCAAAGCAAACGGGACTGCAATTGTACAGGAGTGCCGATCACATGTGTGTGCGGATCTAGGGGCCATGTTGGTGACCAGGGTAAAATAGTAAAAGAGGTTTTGGCAGTTTTACAAGCTTCCTACATCGCATGTCTTTTTTCATCACCTCCTTCATGTTGTTTTTTTCTGACTGTTCTTTGGCTTAGATCTAGGATCTAAGGCATCGTAGATCTAGAATATAGATCTAGATATAGATCTATTTGTTTGCTAATTTCGTAATCAACACCCAAACATTCTTCTCTCTCTCTCCCTCCCTCTCTCTCTCCGGCCGACCAACAACAGTACACCTTAACCCAAACCTTAACATGAACCCTTACCCTGACCCAAACCGTAACCCTAACCCTAGATCTAGGTCTAACCCTTACCCTAACCCTAACTCTTGTATAGTTTGCTCAGTGGACCTTGTCATGGTAAGTGCCGGCCCTCCGCGGAACTCCTCCCTGAAAATGTAGTTTTCTGAATACAGGGTGTCTTTAAAAAAAAGAGGACCCCATTAAAATAACTCAGTCATCTAGACATTATAATTTCAATAAAACTTCGAACAAATAAAATTCTGATGCTCTCGTGGTCTAGAGGTTACGGTGTTCTCCTCTCATTCAATATGTCCCACATTCGAAACCTGACAGCGACAGAAATTAAAAATGTTTTTTCTAAAATCTTCTCCTTTCCCCTCCTTTAACCTGCTCTCTAACCATGTTCTGTCGTCTGTTTTCGTCATCACTTTTTGCCCCCCCCCCCCCCAATTCCCCCTCCTCTGGGCTCCTGCACTCTTTTTGTTACCTTTCTACTGCTTCTTGCTCCTTCCTACTGCTGTCTTTCAGCCATACCTGCGATCTTATGTCTTATGGTAGGTATAAAGATCTAACACACAGTCAACTCGTCAACTCGGATAAGGGAGAAAAATCTCAAAGATCCCATGTTTAAGTTTTACACTTTAAAGATCCCTTGATGGTCCAATATCGATAAGAGTAGACTTCAGCCACCACCTGGGCAAAATTCAAAATTAATAATTCCTGTCAAACTGAAAATGTTTAATGTAGGGACGTCAAATCTGTAAATATAATATCGGAAGAAAATCATGGTTTGTCATACATAGACTCCCGTAACGTACCCATGGTTGAATTTATTTTTTTAAAGTTTTGTCGAAACCAGTCAAAAGATGACCGAGTTAAACAGCCCTTTAAATGGGCCCTCGCTTTTTTTAGACACCTGTTACTATCTCTCTGTTGCAAAAATGATCATGATTAGATTAAAATGTGTTAAATATATTGAGATAGATTTATGCAATAAACAAACCTGATGCCGGTTACCTAATGTTTATCTTTATGACATGGTTTTATTGTTTCATTCCAGTGGGGAGATATTTGCTCACAAGACAAACGTGTGTGCCTCAGTGACAGAGACCTGATCTATCTCCTGGACACGAGGAGAGAGCAAAGGTCAACCAGAAACTGGAGGAGGGTGAGGAACCGGGAAACAGAATTTTTTCTGAAACGACAGACTTTAGCGAGACATAAAGGGAAAGAAGACAAACTACAGTGGAGTCTGCTGAAACCAAACACGGTTCATCCGATAATCATATGGCGGTAAACCTTAATAAAATAATATCTCCGATTTTTTTCTTCAGTTGAACCAGATATCAGGCTGAAGTCTCATCACTACGAATGACAAAGTACAGAGAGCTATTTTAGGAGCTGTTATGCTGATGGCGAGGGACATTCTAAACTATCTATGTATAAGATGTTATAGGTGTGATCTATCAGGGGGAACTAGGCTCCTTGCAAACCTGTCTTCCTGTCATTGCCGCATTGTTGGTGTTTGTTTATTTACATGTTTTTGCTGTGATAATAGATTGATATAGTTGGTTTAACACACAATTCTATACTGGAAATACTATTTGAAATAGAATCATGCCTTTTGAGGCTCATTGAGAAAGTTGACTTCAGATGGATGTCTCTATAAAACTCATAAAATTAGGAGCATACTTTTGATTATTTCTGATGTGAGGAAATTGCATTCTCTGTCCCCAGCTGTTTCCATCTGTACTTTCTACCTGTGCTGAAAGTGGCTTGAAAGAGCACCAAAACTGGTCCCTCACACCGGTGGAGCAACTGGCTGTTGCTATGGAGAGAAGCTTTCTACGTAAAACATCATCTTTTTCCGAGTTGAACATTCCAAAGTAAACCATAGTCTTGTTCTTGTTTCGTGTGTGTTTGTGTGTGTGCACTTAATCATAGTGTGTGTGTGTGTGTGTGTGTGTGTGTGTGTGTGTGTGTGTGTGTGTGTGTGTGTGTCATTGTAATTGTGTCTGTTACCATAGCTAGCTGTTGACTGGGAATTTATTGAATACATAAAAATGTATGTAGAAGGTTTGGAGGGGGGTTACTTGGCCAGTACCCACCATTTTGACCCACCTTGTGGGTAGAGTCTGTTTCTTGTTTTGAAAAGTTGGCAGCTTTGTAAATGGAGAGTTGTGGCTTGTGACTGTGATGTGTGTGTCCTTTAAATCATCCTTCTTTTTTTCAATTTTTGTTCTTTCTTGAAACAGAATTCCTGCTGGCCCAGCCACTGGAGGTGAGGGTGTTTCTGAAAACTTGCACAACAGGCGTGGTAAGGAAGTGAAATTTCTTTTTGTGCCATTAGGAAAAGGTTAAAGGGATGTAATCCATAAAATTATTTCAATCAGGATTGATATAATATTTTTTACATGGTGTCAGAAGTCAGTGGATAACGTGTCACAAGTATCAGAATGCCTCATTTCAAGCCTCCTGAGCCGTTTGATTTTTCGAAACCTCACGAGTGGCCCGAGTGGCGACAGCGTATGCTACGATACCGCACAGCCACCAAACTGAGCGCAGAGACCGGAGAAGATCGATGACGTAGTTGGTCCGTAAAGGGGAGTAATTAGCAGGCTGCCATTTCTTAATTTCATTGTAATGTCCCTTGTTTTTGGCGGTCTAATATTCGCTTTTTTTCTTTTCAATTTTGTCATTGTTATGTCCCTTGTTTGCACTTTTTTATTATTCGCTTTTTTTCTTTTCAATTTACATTTTCGTAATTAAAATTATTTCAACCTCCAAGCGCTATAGCTTCATACATTTTCCCGGAACCTCACCATCTTGACGAAATTACATATTGTATGGATCTAGATCGAGATCTAGAAGATCTAGATCTAGATCTAGATCTATATCTAGAGTAAGATCTTAAACTAATTCTTTGGTTTCGAAGTGACCAACCCATTTTCAAAGTCAAAGTTCGATGACGCGCTGCAATTTAAAATTCTTTGTTGACAGTTTGCTATTTATCACTAGATCTATCAGCTGAGTCCACATTCTGGCTTTGGCTGTACTAAAGACTTTAGGGAAGAATCTGATCTGGAATATGCCAAACATCATTAGATCTAGATCTAGATCTAGATTCTAGATTCTAGATCTAGATGTACACATCAAAGGAAGAAGCTTCGACGTTCGAAGCCGGGTAGGTCCTAACTGCTGACGGATCGGTGAAGTATTATCATACTAGATCTAG